TCTAGCAAAATGAAATTCCAATTAAAATTAAGTCAGGTATAATGTATCATTCTACATCTATATGAAATTCATATACCAATCATGAACCTATGACCAAGCATTATATAAGAAGCAAAGTTTCTTGACTGGGCCAACCTTAACTCTTCACCAGTCACCAACTGAGAATTATATTTAGATTTGCCTAGGCTACAATAAATTATGTTAAATGTAATTTCAAACTATATATATGAATTATTCATTTCAAAACATATGTCATCACAGTAAGATAAATTAAAGATTGGAAAAAACCTAAGTTAAGTGTGTGTATGTTATAAATAGCATATAATTATAATATTTTTTTCTTTCTTTATTTCATCATTATTATACTTTGTTATACTTTTATTGCTACTGTACTGATAGAAGTACTGTATTTCTAAAGATGCAATAAATATTATTATTATTATTATAATTCGCCACATGAATTTGAACAATTTTCTGATTTGTCATGTCATCTTTTCAAGGTTTACAAAGAGACTATAAAACAAGTTGGTCATTGGCTAAGAAAAACAATGTAGTAATAGTCACATGGCTGAGGCTATTTTATCTGAAAAGAATTCCAGGTTAGATGACATACCGGGTAATGGTTGTACTGGTATGCATGCAGTACATTCATTCAGGTACAAAAACATCTATGTGTACTCACTCATGCATTCAGAAAATTACACATCATTGTCCACTGGAATAAACTGAATAAATAACATACTTGGAATGTCATTCAGAGATGCAAGGAGACAACTAACATTTTATCTCATTTTAAAAACTATACCATGCTCCATTATAAAGACTTGTGTCAAAATCATGGGTGTGCTTCTATTGGTGCTATTTTTTATGCACAGCAAATCATAACGTGACATTTTGTTTTTTCATTCATTTCTATTGACCTATATACATATATTTTTTGTTCATTTATTTATTTATTTTTCATACTAGTTTTAAATGGAATTTCAAATGTTTGACAGTCTGAAATAAAGATAATAATAATGAGATATCTATAGACATACTTCCTCTACCTCCTCTCAGATTTAAATTAAACAGTTACCTAGGAAAAGGTTGTTACCATTCTGCAACCTGATCCCAAAGATTTGTATCATTTTTGTTCCATAATAACTTTTCAGATATCCTTTAGAATGATTCTGAATAATGTATTTAACGCCAAGTCAACTTTTGTCTGCTTTCGAAAAATAAACCTGCATTATTTTGTATCATATTTTTTCAAAATTGTAATCAACACTTGTTGGCAGTGGAAAATTTGGTCTAAAATGTAATAAAAATGTACAAAATATTGCATAAAATTGTCTCAAGTAAAAGAACTATTGCTTTGATGAAATCCTCATAGAAAGGACATGCTAGTTGTTAATTAAGTTAGTGATATTGTGGAAAACAGCAATCTTGAGAACAGTGTTCTCCCTAGGCAAATTTGACACTGTGAAATTTTGTAATTATATCTCAAAATATACATCTTCAGTAACGTCTAGTTAATTATAAATATATGAACTTAGAGGGAATGTTTCAGAAATTGTCAAATTTCTCTGGGAAATTTGAGCACCTCAATCACAACTTCAGGAAAATAAAGCTTAGAGGGAACTTGTGATCATTTATTGAAATTCATTGATTTAAGTAAAATTCTAGATTTTAGGGGATCATTGTTTTTATGGACTTATAATAGGACAGTTCCTGCTAAGATAACAATTATTTACGTTACAGCTGCAGAGGGTAGTGCGTACAGACCTTTAAACCTTAACCTAGTTTCTTCGTAAACACCAACAGTACATTAAGTTAAAGTTGATGGGGAAATGACACAGAAATGACCATGTACCAAGATGTACATGTAACCAATGTGCCCTCTAAGCTGATATGACGTGCCACAGATGCAAAAGATATGTTGACATGCATCTGATTGTGCTAATAGACCAGTTTCCGTTTACTGCAAGACTCTGCGTTATGTGTGGAATCGAACGTAAAAACAGGACAAACAAAAGTCATAGCATCGTAGTGGCAATAAACATCGTGTGAGATTCGACAAACGCGAAAGTATTTTGGGGGACATTTCCATGCTTAATAATGTGCTATACAATGGGACAATTTCAATGAAGTAGTTCAAAAGCAAATCGTTCGATTTTTGTGGCAGACGTTCTGTGCACGTCTTTCACGCAATTCGCAGTTGAACGGTAAATCACTTATTCACAGGGGTGTCATTGACGCAACAGAAAATTAAACACTGACTGTGATCTTGAAAATCATTTTACTATAAGTTATGTAATTTGGCAGAATGAAATTTTACAAAGAAAATAACCTTGAATGTATTACAAAAACATGTGAATTTCATTTTACCAAATTACAAATCTATAACTATAGTTTATTACCGTAAAATCTGAATTAGAAGCTGCACCCCTAAAAGAAGTCGCACTCGTTCTCTTTGAATAATTGAGAATAAACAATCATTTCTCATATGTGTAGATGCTCTAATAGAAACCGCATCCCCTCTGTTGCATTGTATCATTTTAATAGAAGCCGCGGCTTTCAATACAGATTTTACAGTAATATTTGATTTTTGACTGCATCATTGGCTCACTAGGTAAGAAGCATGCATGTAGCTACACACTAGTGAGATCATAAATATTCTCTGTGCGTCATTGTAGTGTCATACCGGCTTAGAGGTTACAATGCTGGTCAGTGAACACCTAACTATACCGGTAGTACCTACATTCTACCATGCTAACAGTAATATGAAATAGGATTAACCTGAGAAATTTATACAAACGGATGGACTGGTACATGGAATAATTAATACAATTTTATTAAATACATAGCTAATCAGAGAGGGTTTGAAATTTCTAACTTATTCTGTATGGATCTTGAGTGCAAATGGAAGGCTAGAAAAGTGGGATAATCCTGTTACCAGTGAAAGGGAAAATCCTGGAGTTTGAAGTGGTCTCCTTTGCAGGACAAACCATAGACCCTCCAGTACTGGAGGGTCTATGGACAAACTGAGAATTTATCTATGTGGTACATTTTGTAGCTCTGATGGCACAACATGAAATGTTAAACATAATTGTGATTTTTTTTTACATATATGTTTTGTTATTACATATTTGTAATCAAGTAAAAAGCAAAATATCAATGCAATGTTAAAGTTAATATGATGTATTATTTTACAGCTGTGTTGATGACATTGGCTCAGAGGGCACGCATGCAGGCACAATGAGACTATTACACAATGAAACCATGAAAGTGAAAAGAATGATAACTGCTAATTAGACATCTGTTGTATATACATACATGTAGTTTAGTACATTTTTAACAATAGTGACTAAAATAGGAGCCAAATAAATCAATAATATCAATGCATTGATGCGATTAGTCGGTGACTAAATATCTATTTTTAGCGATTACTAAAAAGCAAACGATTTCAGGCCACATATTCACATTGTGTGGATTACAAAAGTATAATGGGTAACACATGGTATGATATTTATCAATTAAATATCACTACTGACAATGGAATCAAATTCTACCACACTGAGTTGTGGCCATAATATGGTGACTTATGCATACATCTTCACAAGGACATACAGTTTGCATGTATTATATAAGAGAGCCTGCTGTCAACTACACACTTTTTTTGTTGTTGCAACAGTATGTTTTTTCTAGCTGAACTAGAAGTATACATCGATTTACAATGTGTGATTATATATTGAGGCAGACATTTTATCCTGACTTAATGCATGCATATTTTAGAAAAAAATAGTGACTTCCTAGTTCTATATCAGAACATTATCCCTCTGTAATAACATCATAAGCCCACTTCTCCAGAGGCTATAATTAGTCAGATGCACTCTAATTGTACAACAATGCATGTTTATAGCCAGCTAATTAATAATTCAATTGGGAGGTTTTATAGCAAGTTGTTCCAAATGGGCTGACTAGGTGATCCATATGTTAGGATGGCAAGGTGGTGGGTTTGAAATACTATATATAATAAATCGTGTATACATCACGTCACTCAGATTAAAAATCATTATTTAAAGAACCGTGCTGCTAGTGTATGAGGTAGATAAGGGATTAAAAGGTTTTTTATAGTAATGTTACGTCAGTGCTTACCCTATTGTTTTAAGATAAAAGAACCTCAGAATAAATCGATCTTACTTAGAAATTGTTATAGAAAAGGAAATGTTTGGTCTCATAATGTTCCAAAGTGGGAAAGAATACCAACTGTAAAAATTTGGTGGTGTAAATGCAGAACTTATGAAATGTTCATTGCACTGCATTAAAATCTTTCAATATCTCTAAATTAAACAGTCAACAAATTCAAAATATATTATTACAATTTTTACAGTTCAATTTTTATCTATTTGTTTTCAAGGATTTAATGACAGAGAGCAGTTTTTTAAGTTGTTTTAATAAAATTTTAAATCATTCATATCGGCACTTGTTCGGGAGTAATGTCCAAAGTTACTGGATATTGGCGTGCATTCACTTTGTGTATCGAGCGACCAGACCTTTCCTGACCCGATCAAAAAACGACTTCCGGGAGGAAGCACATCCTTTCTCGGAAACGAGGACACAATAACGGACCAAACAAACCCCAATCTCTTTCGTGAATCACTCATGTAGGAATGCCGTAAATGGACAATAACGCGGCTATCGGCTAATAAAATGGGTTACAGCTCATTCTGTGCCAAGAAACATATGCACTTCCTGTATGACTAGTTGGTGTCCCCACCACGCAACTCTCACTTTAACACCCCGTTGAAAAATTGGGCCTGTAAAATACGTCTAATACTCACCACTATCGCCAATTATAAGTAATTTGAAAAGATGGTCGTACTCTTTGGCCATTTCAGAGCCTCTATCGCCACAAAATGTCCGCTGTTTCCGTGACTACAACCCCAAAATAAAGAATATTTCACTTCAGCTATACGATCCTCGTCAATTTTCGAGGGTGGAGGAACAGACGGCTGTTTGAGCATGCGCGGTGATGATATCATCGCGGACTTTGAATTTGCATATCTAATAGGGATTCCTCGCCAGATCACGTGTTGCTTCATGGTTGCCGGCGCTCGGGTTCATCAGCTGATTTGTAAAAAGTTCACTACAAATGGGGACTTCCTTTCTGTCACAGATTTACGTTTATATATTATATGAATGAAGCCTTGATTATGGGATCAATTTTTCGGAGGGTCTGCTTTATTGCTCCAGGATGCAGGACGTTTTCAATACACCAAATCAGGTAAAAGGAGACTTTTTTTCGAACCATATCATTACCGATCATGAATGCCCTCGGCTCAAGTGATGGTTATATAATATTTCTTTAAATTATATGTATACCGTATTTGCTCTATTAGAAGCGCATCTCCAATAGAGGCACTACAAACCACAACTCGCATTTGTTGTATATTGCATTATTAAAATATTACTTACTGTAAAACATGTCTTTTTAGCTAGCATGTTATTTTAGCTAATTTAGTAATTTCGCTAATTCAAGATGTAGCTAATTTAAAATAAAGTATATTCTCACAATGAGATTGTTGGCACTTTAGCTAAATTAAGATTCCGTTTTATTCATGCATGGTGTGTCATGCAGCTATTTAAACATGTTTTACAGTATTTTGACTGAAACCCTTCTGTAATTTATGTCAGTGTATGAACTACTAATAATAGATTAAATACGGTATACGACCACTCATTTTTTCCTTCAGTACCTAACATCCATTTTTATTTATAAAACGTTGACGACCCCACCTTTCTGTCCTTACACAGTCTAACTTTTCATTTATTTCTCCATGGTTACTGAAAAGACTTTTAGGAATTTTACACAATATTTTTACAGTTTGGGCGGGCCAGTGACCTCATTCAGATTTGTTCATTTTTTGACAGCAGTACTTGAAAAAAAAAAGCTGTTTCCAATATTTATTGTTTATAAACATAAAACATTATTAATATTGAACTCTTAAACAATCACAGTAAGAATGGCCCAGTCTTCCCATGACCAGTGTTGTGAAGTGTCAATCATTTGACATACTGGTAGACGTATCTACCAGAGTCCTGTAAAAATGTGTAAAATTTGAAAGCACTAAAAATTCTTGATGTTTCACTGAATGAAAGGTTCTATCAAATAAATGACAAAGAGCAATAAAAAGTGGATGTTTCAATACTTGTTTCCATGAAAACAATCTATAAAATTGGCAATTTTCCATATTATTATACACTACTGTCAAAATACATATACAATTCATGAAAAATGAAGTTCATAATTAAAAAATTGATTCTGGTGCCCAAATAGGGAGTCACATCATGACATGGAATAATTTCAACAAAATTTCTAACAATTCTTTTTTGTGTTCATGTATAACCTGGTTCATCATGAATGCTATGTATTTATATTGATAGTTGATTCAATTCCCGACCATTTAACAAGCATGTATATCATAGGAGAGGTATGGTCAGTGTCACAACAGGGAAGGATATGCTCAATCTTTTCAAAACACCTGACATCAACTCTTGATTGGTTTCCAGGAG